TGTTACTATTTTAAAACACAAAGAAATACTCTACCATCCTTGTCATTCATTCTTTTGGAAATTTCAAAAGATGTCTTCCAAATTCTGGAAAATATATACACATATATATTCATTCCACATCCCCCTCTACCCTGGAGGTTAGTGGACTTTGGCAGGTGTTTCTTTTCCTTTTCCTTTGTCTTTTTTTTTTTTTTTTAAGATTTTATTCATTCATCTGACAGAGATCACAAGTAGGCAGAGAGTCAGAGAGAGAGGGGGAAACAGGCTCCCCGCTGAGCAGGACCCTGAAATCATGACCTGAGCCGAAGGCAGAGGATTTAACCCACTGAGCCACCCAGGCACCCCAAGATAGGTGTTTCTTTAAACGCGTATAACTAACAGAGGGGGGAAGTTCACGAGTGTTTCTAGAAGAGGCTCAATAAGAAGTCGTATCTATAATCTACCAGGTCATGAGCAACAACGTGATCGATCAGTAGGACTCCTCCAGCACTGAAACAAAGTCCTCTGGGGCACCTTTGGCCTCTGGAGACACAGCACTCTGTGATGCACAGAAGTGATGTCCCGAAGGGGCGGGGCTGGCTCCCTGAGATGGCCATCGGGATGGGGGCTGCCAACAGCCCAGCGGCGGTACCACCCACCTTCGCTTCTGGTTCAGGCTCGTTCCAGGGGCTAGAAAGACAGACCTTGTCTTTTATCACAGAAAGAAATGAGGTAGTGACTAGGCCAAGGTCATTCAGAGTAGGCGACGGTTGGGAAGAGTACCCAAGGCTTCTGACTTCCAATCACAGGACACAAACACACGGCCCGCATCTGGTGAAAGTGCCCTTGAGTAAAGGGGCAAGTCAGATGGAGACGCCTTCAAGGCACTGAGTCCCCAGAGTTAGAAGGGGGAACCAAAGGACAAAGAATAAAATCACACAACAGCTGTGTGAGTCTGCAAGTGCTGTGATCCCATCTGAATAAAATGCAATTAGACGCACTCAGTCCTGCATCTTGGTTAACCTTACATAACTCCTTCCTATTACATCACTAAGAACAATTGTTTTTAATGGGCCCACACCTGGACAAGCCAGGCAAGCACCCTTCACATGCTATGATGCCGAAGCTGAAGAGTTTTCCCCAAGGAAACGCTGGCTTGAGTAGAAGCCAAAAATAAACCAAAAAGCCCATTCCTAAGGGACCTGTCATGAGGGATGCTACACACACACACACACAGCCTTAAAAAAGCAGAATGACCCAGACATAGCTTTGATTTAGAGACATTAGACCTCAAATCAGGAGTGGCTCTGGATGTTGTGGCAATTTGAAGCAAAAGACAGTGCACACGATGGGAAAACTAAAGCATAAACAGGAAGCCCCCGAACCTGGACTGACAGTCTGTTCTCTTCCGAACAGGGGCCGTTCTGTCCAACCATGACAGGTGGAGACCGGAAGGACCCACCACGTCTAGCCAGTGCTCAAGAAGGCAAAGAGACTGCGGCATTTGGCTTTATTCCAAAATGCTACTCAAGGATGGCCACTGATGGGGAAGGGGCAAGTCTCATAGAAGATCTGCGGCCAAAAGGGAGAAGTTGCAAATGGGTACATCAGCTGCCACACTGAAGGGGACAAAAGATTGAGGAAAGGAAGGAGCACAAGGCACGTGCTTGTTTTAAGTCCTAAAAAAGCTTAACTATGGCTGCTGGAAGCCTCAGGAACTGGACCATAAATTCTGCAGTTTCAAGGAAGAGCTACTTTTTTTCTCTCTTTCTTTCTAAGATTGTATTTATTTGACAGAGAGAGAGAGCGAGAGGACGAGCACAAGTAGGGGGAGCAGCAGGCAGAGGGAGAAGAAGGCTCCCAACTGAGCAGGGAGCCTGATGCACACTCCATCCCAGGACCCAGCGATCATAACCTGAGCCAAAGGCAGACGCTTCACAACTGAGCCACCCAGGCGCCCCTACTTATTTTACTTCTGTTCATAGTTTTCACTGAAGTGGCCAGGAGGGGGTAGACCTTATTAGCCAGCCTCTTCATCTCTTTATGAATTCGTTCATTAAAAACTTGAGACTAGTATTAGGCCTTTACTCATTGCCCAACAAATTAACCTGAAAACTACAAAGACAGTCCACAGCCTACTAAACACTCCACATTAAAAGGGTACTGTTAAAAAAAAAAAAAAATCCAAGAGGTGGCAGCTTTAAAAAGAATTATGTTTCTCGATATTGTCACCACATTATACTATCAGTAACTGGGTTCTCAAATCTCATAACCAAATTAGTGATGGAGTAGGAATCAGAACCTAAATGCTCAGCCTTGGTCTAATGGCCTTTTCCTTTACCGCACACTGTCACCTCCTCGGATTTATAAGGGGTGAGAGGTGGGAAGAAAAAAAATCTTCCTACCACTTCCTAAACTGCAAGGTCCCACTCAGCACACTAGGTGGGGTCATCTATGCCTAGGGTTCAGGGTGACCTACAGCTACCTATCAGGTATACACCCCAAACATACTCTTTTTTTTTTTTTTTAAGATTTATTTATTTATTTGACAGACAGAGAGCACAAGTAGGCAGAGAGGGAGGCAGAGACAGAGGAGGAAGCAGGCTCCCCGCTGAGCAGAAAGGATGATGACGACGACGACACGGGGCTCAATCCCAGGACCCTGAGATCATGACCTGAGCAGAAGGCAGAGGCCCAACCCACTGAGCTACCCAGGCGCCCCCCAAACTTATTCTTAATTCCTAAAAGGACTGGGTCTTGTCATCCACACATGGACACTACACGCCACCACTTCCTAGAGTTCCTACGCCCCTTAGCCTTTGCTAAGCTCAGAAGCTAGACACTCCAGTGGCAAAGAAAACACCGGCAGTGGAGCCACAAGAGAGTTCAACAAATTCAAAGCAAATCACAAGAGGGCAGCTTCCAAATATGTTCACACTGGTGCCTTACGATTATTTTCTATTTAATTCCTAGACAAGTATTTTAAGTCAAACTTGGTATAAGTACACATGGTGGGAGGAGGCAGACAGAAAATAACCGTAAATAAAGTTAACCCCCAAAGTCAAGATGAACAGGAACAACAACTGATAAACATGGCAGCTCCCAGCAGTGGAGCTGGGCTGGCCTGCTGAGTCCCCGGGCAGGGAGGCCATGACACAGGGAAATGAGTTGCATTCCAAAAGTCACCAACCTTTGGAGAAGATGGTTAGGGAAAAACATTTTTCAAAAACCCACAGAAAGACATCAGCAGCCATTCGTTAGTCCAGACAATGCAGAAACACTATATAAAGAGCAAAAATCTTCTCCTTCTGATGTAATGACACTGGTGGTAATTTATAACAAGCATTCCACTATAAAAAGTACAATTTTCCACATACTTTTGCACATGAACTTGTAATCTTCTTTCCCGAGTCAGAGCAGCTAATGCCTGATTTGCATTTTTCTGAGGGAAAGCCAGGGGTCCTGTATGCGGATTTCTCTGTCTATGGATGCCTGCACACTGGCAAGGAGAAAGGCCCTGCTGGGGGCGCCTGGGTGGCTCAGTGGGTTAAAGCCTCTGCCTTCGGCTCAGGTCATGGTCTCAGGGTCCTGGGATCGTGCCCCACATCAGGCTCTCTACTCAGCAGGGAACCTGCTTCCCCTCTCTCTCTGCCTGCCTCTCTGCCTGCTTGTGATCCTTCTCTGTGTCAAATAAATAAAAATCTTAAAAGAAAAAGAAAAGAAAGACCCTGCTGGTATCAAGTCATTTCTGCCACTAGGAAGTAGATCACAGGCTCTTCTCGGGAGTGGGGACTTACCCCTGCCAAGAGCCATTATCACAGACCCCCTTTGTAGCATGGCAAGAAGCCCTATTCCTATGTGGCCTTTGTCTCCCAGTGTGTGAGAAACCCAGATTAACTTCTCAAGTGCCCTCCCCTGAAATCAGACCTGTCAACAGCCCAGGCCTGATTCCTGCTTAGAAATGTTTTCCTCAAGGGGCGAAGGAGAAGCAGACGAAGAAGGGGTGAGAGATACAGGGGTGTGTGCCTGCGAGTGTGAATCACTGATAGGAATTCGCACTCAGGAAAACAAGACAGAAGCAGCAGCCACCAAACCAACCCCGGTTCAAGGTTTTAGGTTTAAGATGATAAACCCCTTTGTCTATAGGACTGCAATATTCACCAGCCTTACCCCAATACTTTAAGGGAGTCTGATGTTTGCATGACAGCCTCAGGTCAGGAAAAAACCTTGGGTTTCCAGATGGGTGGCTCTTCTCCATCCATGGTTCCATAGTAATTTTTTTTTTTTTTTTTCCTACAAGAAGTCCCACTGCACTTGGGAGTCCTGGGTCCCAGTCACAGCTGTCCCATCTCCCCCACCCTGTACTATTAATATCACCGCTCTGATTGTTAATGATTTTACTCACAAAGTTCCCCGCAGCAATTAAAACGAGACAACAAGGTAAAAAAAAAAAAGGGGGGGGGGGGGGGGGGAGGGAGGTGGGTTTCTTTACCCATAATAACGCATTCTGCCATCTAGGGAACTTCTTGGGTTTTTATAATGCCCGAGATTCCCCCTCAATCTTTGTTTTGGAACGCCCACAGCCCTGCCCCGCACGGACCCGGCCCGGCCTTCCTTTCTGGATGCACAATGCAGTGTGTAGCTCCTCGGGGTCAGCAAAACGCCGCACTGGTGTAATGCCGAGCGTGCCTCAGCGCCCAAGGAGTTCCCCACCGTAGTGGGTCCACGTACAGGATCTCGAGGCCGACACCCCGGCACCGCAAGGCTAGGGCGTCCCTTCGCGTGGGGAAGCCCGGGGCCCGGTGGCCCGCGGCTGGTGCAATGACTTTGCACCGGGGCGTCCCCTCCGCGGAGGCTCGTCCTCCCGCCTCGGCCCACTGCAGTTGCACCATTCCGGCCAGCGCCACGCGCGCCTCCCCTCCCCGGCCTAGGGCTCCTGCAGCAACTCCGTCCCTGCGTCGGCCCCCGACCCCGGCCCCCGACCCCCTGTCCCCGCCCGGGCCCGGCCCGTCCCGCCGCACCTTGGTCTCCTTCACGTGCTGCTTGACGCCCTCCGGGTACCACTGGACGCGCACGTAGCCGCGGCGCAGCGGGCTGGCCCGGCCCTCCTCGTGGCCCGCGCCCCCCGCCTCGGAGCAGCCCGAGCTCCCGCGGCCCTCCTCCTCGCCCTCCGAGTCCGAGTCCTCGCCGTGGATGAGGCGCACCAGCCCGAAGTGCACCGAGCCGCGGTAACGGCCCGACACCAGGTCGTGAGAGAACAGCAGCCGCTGCGAGCCGGCTTCGGGGCCGGAGTCCGAGGACGGCCCGGAGGCCGAGTCCGGGGCGGGCGCCGCGGCGGGAGCCGCGTCCGGGGTCGGGGGCGCGTCCGGGGCCTGGACGGGAGCCGGAGCTGCGGGCGCGGGCGCTGCGGGATCCGCCATAACTGCTCTGCGCGAGTCTCGGGCGGCGGCGGCGGCGCTGCTGGCGGTGGCGGCGGCGGCGGCGGTGGCGGCGGCGGCGAACGCGGCACGGGGAGGCGGGGCCAGCAGGCGCGGGGGCGTGGCCGCGGCGCGCTGACGTGGCCCTGCGTGCCGCCGTCGTCAGGGAACCGAGATGCGGTTGCTAGGAGCTCCTGCCTCGTCGCTAGGGGACGCTGGAGATGCTGCCGGGGGCGGGGGAAGAGTGGACCCCGCGAGGGAGGGGCGGGGCCGCAGGGGGTAAAAGTTAGGGGACCCGGGAGGAGGAAGCGCAGTGGGCACGAGGGAAAGGGGAGTGGCCGAGGTGGGGCGGAGGATGGTCCCGAGACTGTCAACAACCTTTAATAAGCCTCCTCGGCGTCTCCAGCCCAGTCCTACGCGCTGGGAGGGGTGAGGAAGAGCCGGACACCGTCCCCGTCCTCTAGGTGTTTACAGCCTAGCCGGAGAGACGACACATATGCATATTAAATAGCTAAAACCAACTCCAGGGCAGCTTGTAAGCAAAGCTATAAAAGATTTAGAGAGAGAGCCTATCTGGAGTGTATTGTATTAGGAAATTACACACAAAGTTTGGAAGGTCATGACCCCAAAGGATCAGAAAGATAAGCATTAGTGGCCTCTCTGGTTTGGGTTTCAGAGGGACTCAGAGCTCCATGAGGCTTAGTATACATGGCGAGAGGTGGGATAGTGAGGTAGGTGGGAGTGGGAGCGGTGGCATCCTTGCGGCTGCCACTTACTAATCTTATAAAGGTAGGGAAGCTGGTAAACTTCTTTTCACCTGAATTTTCTCATCGGTAGAAGAGGGGTGATAATACCGAACACGTCTCTTCCGGCAACTGGGAGAAACGAAGGAAACAGAACCGTGCCTGACGTAGTTCCCTCCATGAAGCTTAACCATTGCTGGAACATTTCAACCCTCCCTAGACCAAAATTCTAGACAGGCAGAACTGTTATACTTATGGTTTGCTCCATATTGCCATTTTAAAGTATAAAAAGGAATTATACTAATGTGTCCCTTAAGTAAGTTCCAAAAGATTTAGATAACATTCTCAGAGGACAGATTCATAATGGGTTGTTAGAAGGAAATTAAGAATACTCAGGCGATGACCCTCAATCTTTCTCAGTCAAAATCATTTTTCCCACATTTTTCTGTAAGACCATCAAAGATACATTGGTAGGATGGTTCAATATTACGATATTTGGGTTCTTTTTAAAAGGCGGGATCCCCGTTCTTTGAGTAGTTTACGGACTGCCAAGGCTACAGACGACACTCCTGGAAAAGTGTCAAGAACAAACATGAAGCACGCGTGGCAGCCTGAGTATATGATGGGTCCCGAGCCAAGCACTTCAAGGATATTGATGTAATACTGGGGTTGGGGTGGTTGTCAATGGATCCAGATCTTAAAAAGCTCACATACTAAGGTATAGAAAAAACAGTGGCTAAATGAGCTGAAGGGGAATGAGGATACAATTCCGGGGCAAAGCTTGGCTCACAAACCACAGCCTTTCCATCCCAGACCACCGTGCAGAGTGGCCATCTGGAATCACCGCTGGGAGGACTCCGTTCCCCACTCTGTCCGCCATAAAGACCTGGCAGGCTGAACAGCAATCATGTAGTAGCTTCAATTCCACTTACCATGCCCCTGTCTCCCTAGCTCCATGACCTAACACCTCTAATTGACCGGGTGCTATGCCAGACACATACACATACATTATCTTATTACCACAATTGTCGATACAGGTGTATGTTTTTTGTTTTGGGGGAGTTTTTTGGTTTGTTTTTTGCTGTTTTGTTTTTAAGTAAACTCTAGGCCCTACCTGGGGCTTGAACTCATGACCCCAAGATTAAGAGTTGGAGGCTACACCGACTGAGCCAGCCAGGCGCCCCTGGATATAGGTGTGCGTAACCCCATTTTATCAATGAGGAAACAGGGTCCGGGAATTCAGCGTCTAAGGTCACAACATAGTAACATTCAGGGCCAAGTTGGAATCCAGTTTTCCTGACTCCAAGTGCAGGGGCTTTTCTAGTTCCTCTGTCTAGCAAGGGTTGGGGGAGGGGGGTGAGCAAGTGGGGTGAAGGGGCAGGGCAATGCGGTCCCCAAATCCTCGATGTCAAAAATCTAGTGAGTTTTGCACTCTACTCCAGCTTATGCCTGTGTTCATTTTAATATAAAAAGAACGTCCTTCTTCCCTAATCATTGAGTAAAATTGGCTCTCCAGGAAGACGTGCCATGTTTATTCTCCGGCTTCTTGTAATAATGGCTAATAATAGCTCCCAGTCATTTTGCTGTAACTTAATACCAGGTACTGTACTAAGTGTTTTGCATAGATTATCCACCTTTACATAGATGAGTCCTCCATGAGAGAGCAAGCATGAGCCCCCCTTTTGTGAAGCACGCTCTGCTGCCTGCCCTCCCCCAGGAAACTGCTAGGTTGTAGGTAAGATCCCTTGGTTTCAAATGCTGATCTCTCCCTCACTAACTAACCCCCTTTTGAGCACGTGGGTCATATCCTAGGTATGCGTGTCACCCCAGTGCCTAGTACAGCGCCTGGCACAGTCCTAGTGCTCAGTGATGTGCCGTATCAGCGGTTGTCAAAGGCCTGAGATTCCTGTCCCTCCGTCTGATCCATTTCCCATCCTCCCCCTACACACCCAAGGAGCTGCCGCACACTATCTCTCAGCCCTTTTGTCGCCCCAGCTGGAGCTGCATCAGAGGCCTTCTGGAAGAAGATCAGTATATTCCTTCCTTACATTCCGCCCCTCACTCAGGTCCAAGACGCTCCAGTCAAAGTATTTGACAGAGATCACAAGTAAGCAGAGAGAGAAGAAGGGAAGCAGGCTCCCCGCTGAGCAGAGAGCCCGATGCGGGGCTCGATCCCAGGACCCTGAGATCATGACCTGAGCCGAAGGCAGAGACTTTAACCCACTAAGCCACCCAGGCGCCCCAAAGGTGGGGGCTTGACTCCTCCCCAGTCCCCGAGCCCCCAACCACAGTCTGCACGGCCAAGCTGGTGAGTGGGGTGGGCTGGGATGGGAGCATTGGCCTAGTTCTTATTTTCGTAATTGCTGAATGAAAACAACAAAGAAAACCCCTTCATTCCCCAGCAGAGAAACCCCTCCTCTCATGGCCCCAACACCCAGCCCTCTTTGGAGGATAGAGATTCTTCTCAGGGGAATTTTGCTTATTTACAAATATGCCTGCAAGAAACTGAGCCGGTCTGGCCACTCCCCTTGCTAAGGGGCTGGCGGGGTGCAGGAGGCAACAGGGCTGGCAGCACCACGAGCTGATCTCTGGGAAGCAGGCCCTGTCTTATCCCTATCTCAAACAGCCACTGGGTTAAGAAGTGTGCACTTCCCAGTGGCCCATGCGGGAGCCCCAGCCTGCTTGGCCTCTCTAAGCTTCCCCCTCTGAGAGAATCCAGATGGGCCCAGAGAACTCCTTCTACCCTGGAGTGTGTATTTGGAGGCTCTAGGGTGCCTTCAGCACCGGGATCTTCGGCTAGGAAGGTGGAGTGGGAGGGGAGCTCCCCTGGCAACCCGTCCCACACCCCCATCGCTAGCCTAGCTGGAGAAATGCCCATGCCTGCAGCTCCAGCTGGCAACTGCTCAAGAATCATGGGCTTTTGGAATCAAAGGGGTCCTTCTTGCCCCTGGAGCCTTACCCCTTTTTGTGTGGATGCCCTGGGAGGTCTGTGAGATTTGCCCAAGTTCACCCTGCAGTACAGTCAGGATTGGGGCCCAGAGGGGCTGGCCCTGAGCCATTCTCACTCCCAACTCAGGAATGGTTGCAGTCCATGGGGCACACTACTTTGTGTTGGGGGCACCAGACAGTTGAGCAATAAGTGAGAGCCCAGGTTTGGCAGGTGCACCCTGTTTCCCTCTTTTCTTCAGCTACTGGGGCCAAGGACAGCACCTCCACTGAACCAGCTTGAAGGACAATGGGGGCTGCGGTCACTCCACCATCCACCCTCTTCACCACCAAGTCCCAGATCGCCAGCACCAACTCATGGGTACCTCCTGGATGACCAGCCAGATGTCCCAAACCCATTTCCCCTCAACCCATGCCTTCTCCCAGACTCCTCTTCCAAGTGGATTGCAGCGTCACTTACCTGGGTACCAAGTGGCCGAGGGTTAACCCTTGATCTGAAGCTCCACAGGCGATCAAAGCCCAGGTCATGGCCCCTCTACCCTCTTTCCAGCCTCCCCGCCCCCCCAGGTCCAGAGGGTCTCCCCTGGGGGCTGCTCCACGGGGAGGTAGGGTGGCACCGTGGTGTCATGGCTAGGAGTAGGATTCCAGAATCCATGGACTTGGGTTTGAGAGGCCTGTGATGCCACCGACCCACTCTGTGACCTTGGACAAGATATTTCACTCTCTGAGACTCAGCTTTCTTTCTGTGAAATAGGAGTTACAATAGTACCTACTTCTCAGGGCTGTTGGCAGTGTAACTGGCGTGGTCAGTATATGGTGGTTTGCGTAGGGCCTGTTCAGTGAGCGGGGACTGATAAACATTACCTGCTGGTATGAGTTCATCCCCATCTCTCGAGTGCACCGCGACTGTAGCCTCCTTCCCCTGCTCCCGCCACCTATCCATCCACCACCTTGTTCCCAGGGACACTGAAAATGCAAACAGGATTCTCCAGCTTCTTGGCTTGCCATCTCTCTGTGGCTCTCCTGGTCCAGCAGAGAATGACACTGGTAGCCCTTCTAGAATCGGTCCCTTCCACCTACCTCTAACCCTGTCTTCCAGTTCTGTGCCCTGCACACATGCGCCATGCTCCAGCCCCGGCTGCGTCCCTCAGGACCCCAGTTTTTACTGCCTGGTGCCTTTTCCCTTGCTCACCATCTGCCAGGAAGTTTCAACCCCTGTTTTTACCAAAAGAATTCCTTTTCATCTCACAAAACCCAGATCGGGCTTTCTTATCCATGACGTCCTCCAAGCACCCCGTTCCCTGATGATTATCCCCACTTACCTGGTAAGACCTGTGTGGTTGTATTTATTCCCTTCTTCATCTCTGTA